AGAAATAGATAACAGAGACAGTGTGGGAGGAGAACAGGAGGTGGCAGAGGGTAAGAGAGAGGGAACCAAGGATGGGGGAGAAAAAGCAAAACATACAGAAAACAAGAAATGGAAGATCATTTGCTAATAATAACATGTTTGTTGATGTGCTTGATTGAGACAATATACAGTGTACTCTGGATGGAAAATCTCATTGTGTATGCTGTAATGATGTACAGTGAATGAATGCAAATAAATTGGAAAAAAAAATAATAAATGCCATTAAATGACTGCCAATAATGTAAAAAAAAAAAAAAAAAACCTCACGCCAGGCACATGTGCATGCATGCCCAAGATCCCAAGAGGAGAAGGGAGAAGGGAATGCAGTGTGGTCATCCCCCCTGGGGGGTGATTTCTCACTTTCTGTCTCTCTGGTGAACACACATACTCTATAGCAAAAACCTCTCCAAAAGAAAAAGGAAAAAAAGAAATGTAAGGTTACTTAAAAAGGTTAGCCAATCAGGCTAACCTCAGACCTCTCATCGGAAACAATGTGAGGAAGGAAAGAATGGGAAAACATTTTCAAAGTGTTAAGTGAAAAACAGTTTCAACCAAGAATTCTATACCCAGCAAGATTATCTTTCATATAGACAGAAATGATAAAAACATTCTCAGATAAACAAGACCTGAAAGAATTTGCCAAAAGCAGACCCACTCTTCAAGAAGTTCTGAAAGGAGTGCTGTACCAGGAAAACTAAAGACACATACAGAAATAAGAGAACAAAAGGCAACCAAGAAAATGACCAATGTAATGCAAGGGACAAGAAATATCAATAATAACGCGGAATGTTAACTTCCACGATTTAAACAGAAACATTGGAACACAATAACACTGCAAATTCAACAGAAGAGAGCTGAACGTAAGACTGAACTGGCAAAATAGGATTTTATGACTTTTTGAGTGAAACATTACTGTTTTTTTTTTTTACTATGCTTTGTATTCCCAATTTAAGCATTTTACTTTCTTTTAAGTTGTTGAGAGGTGCAGCATGTTAAAATATTTTTGTTCTTCTAAATGAAAACAAACTTTTCTTCCTTCATGACCACTCTGTAATTGGAAAATATTTGGGAGTATTCTCATTTTGTGGCAGAAGGGTATAAGTTCAATAATGCCTGTTGTGTTGAATCAGAAATTGGAAATATTCATTATTGGACAGGGCTTTAACTGGAATGTCATACTTGAAGATTAATCAGAAAACTATGGAACTAAGGTGGATCTCAAGTAAGCCAACAGAAGCTCTTAGAAAGAAGGCCTGGCACCATATAGTTCTGTCTGGCAGAGAGGATTAGAGAAGACATATGAAAGAATTTATAACATAAACTAACCTGGATTCTTACAGCCTAGCATTGTAATCAGTTAGAGACTGCAAAAGAGCAACCACATCAGAGGATTATCTTGAGAAAAACTTTGAAGGAAGAAAAAGTCTGATCTTTGCTAGCACCTGGCATATCACAGAATACTTGGTAGGCAGGGCAGAATTGAGAAGGTATATATGTGACTCATGTGCTGGGCATTTGCTTTTCAACAATTTGAGTAGTTGATATGTAAATATTTTCTCAAAAATATTTAAAACCATACTGTCTGTTATAGAGTCACAAACAAAATTATAAGAAATATTTTGAATATTGTCTTTACAATTTTGTATTTTGAAATTTTGAAAGTTGTTTATTAACTGTCAAGAACTATGGAGTACGAGCAAAAAAAATTTTTTTGGGGGGGAGAGGTTTGTGCTATAGGGCGCATGCACTAGCGAGAAAGACAGAGAGAGACAGAGAGACAGAAAGTGAGAAATCACCCCCCTCCCCCTGTGGGGATGGCCACATGGCAATCCCTTCTCCTACATTCTCCTCTCGGGATCTTGGGCATGCATGCACACACACCTGGTGTGAGTTTAAGCCACCAAGTCCGGGACTCAAACCACGGTCGACTACATGGGAGTTCAGTGGCACAGCCTTTACACTAACTGCTGGTCCCATATAAAGACTGTTTTAAACTCTCTGTTTTCATATATATATATAAATGTGTGTGTGTGTAGACTGTTTTTGTTTGTTTGTTTTGTTTTGTTTTGTTTTTGTTTTAGGTTTTTGCCACAGGGTATGTGCACTTGCCAGAGACAAACAGAGAACAAGTGAGAAATCAACCCCTCTCCCCACAGGAATGGTCACACCACAATTCCTTCTCCATTCTTCTCTTGGGATTTCGGGCACACACACACACGTGCCTGGTGTGCTTTTCTAGGTACTGTGTCTAGGACTCAAGCTATAATCAGCCATGTGGGAATCCAGCACTTTACCCACCACACCACCTTCTGTCCCCCATTTTTTTTTTTTTTTGAAAGGTTTTCACTATAGGGCATGTACTCGCCAGACAGACAGAGAGAGACATAGAGACAGAAAGCAAGAAATCACCCGCCAGGGGGGATGGTAAAACCACAATCACCACAATCCCTTCTCCATGCTCCTCTAGGGATCTTGGGCATGCACTCACACACGCCCGGCATGAGTTTTAAGCCACCAGGTCCGAGACACGAACCGCGGTGGACTATGTGGGAGTCTACCGACATAGTCATTACACTAACTGCTGGTTCCCTGTCCCCCATTTTTTTAAAAAAAGTTATATGAAATTTCAAAAACATAAGAACAGCACAAAGTTTCCATAGTATTTTATCATAGTAATTTTGGTTAATAGGGTCTTGCCACAGGGCACATGCTCTTACTGGAGACAGAGAGAGACAGTGAGGAAAAGTAAGAAATCACCCCAAGGAGAATGGCTACACCACAATCCCCTCTTTTTCACTCTCCTCGTGGGACTCTGGGCACACACAAACAAGTGTCCAGCATGGTTCTCAAGCCACCAGGCCTGGGACCCAAACTAGTTGGCCAAATGAGAAAAGAGCATGCCAATCCCCATGACATCTGCTGACCCCTTATCATAGTAAATTAAGTTGTAGGGGCAAGCAGATGGCATAGGAGTTATGGGACTGGACTCCCCCATGGTAAACTGTGATTCAAATCCCAGACCTGGCAACTTGAAATTCATGTCAGGCATACGTGAATGCATGCCCAAAATCCCAAGACAAGACTAGAGAAGGGATTGCAGTGTGGCCATCTCCCCTGGGGAGTAATTTTTCACTTTCTGTCTCTCTGGTGAGCGCACATGCACCATGGCAAAAACCTCAAAAAAAATTTTTTTTAAAGTTGATCTTGTGCTACAGAGTACTTAAGATATACACACATGTGAGGTAAGCAGGGAGTGTAGTGGTTGAGCTGCTGGACTCCTGACCAAAGTTTAAGTCTCAGACCCAGCAGCTTGAAATTCACATCAGGCACATGTGTGTCTATATAACTAAAATTCAGAGAGGAGAATGTAGAAGATATTGTGGTGTGGCCTTTCCCCCAGGCATGATTTCTCACTTTGTCTCTTTCAGTGAGCGCATGCACACACATTTATATACATAATACGTATGTGTATATATATGAATGATGTGTGGTGACATCTTTCATCTCACTAAATGAGAATCTGCAGTGCTTTCATTTAGTTTAAGTGTTGAGTGCTATAGTTTACTCGCCTATCCTCTGCTCATTCTTATCATGAATCACTATTGCTATTCTGTGGTACCTGCATTTATATACTTATTAACAGGATCATATATAAACTGCTTCTCAGACTTTAGGGTACAGAAAATTTGGTTTCAGCTACTGAGGAGAAAGATAAGAGACCACCTATATATGAAAACAAGAAGGAAAAAGGAAAGTGGCATTATTACTTAAGCAAATTATTTGGTGATAAGTATCCATTTTTATAATACTGTTAACACAGAAAAGCCAGTGGTGGGACCAGCAGTTAGCGTAATGGCTATGTCACTGGACTCCCATGTAGTCGACTGCGATTCGAGTCCCGGACCTGGTGGCTTAAATTCACGCAGGGCGCATGTGCATGCATGCGTGCCCAAGATCCTGAGAGGAGAATGGAGGAGAGGGGATTGCAGTGTGGCCATCCCCCCTGGGGGGTGATTTCTCCCTTTCTGTCTCTCCTGGCTGTCTGTCTGGTGAGCACACGCGCCCTATAGCAAAAACCTCCACACGCACACACACAAAAGAGCCAGTGGTATATTCTGTCTTGACGAAATCAGAGGCACCATCAAGTATAAGCATCTTGTGCTCTCAACTACATTAAATTACCATGCACAATTCAAAAATATAAAACATCATGTGACACAGGAAAATAATCCATAAATACCACTAGGACATTTCTTCACATTAGTTTATTCACATAGTTTTAAAATTTCATTATTATGAGTGAACATCTGTCAACCATTTAGAACTGGGCATTTTTGGTACCTGTGTTAAAGTGTACAGTTTCCCTTCATGTCATTATTTCTAGGGAAACATGTTTTCAATGTCTTTTTAAAAGTTTATACACAGTGTTAATTCTTCAAAATATAACATAATTGAGTTACTTGGTGAAGACTGTTCCATATTTAGTCATCCTAGAGTTTCATTCCAAAGGTATTTTATAATTACAAGCTGTCATTTCTTGGTAAAAATGTTGCCTCACTTTGCTGTAACTGTGAGGATACCCCTCATCCCTGGTAGAAATATTTCTAAAAGCTAAGATCTGACCTTAGGAAGCCTTTCAGATATTCAAAGGATTCCTCTTTGCTGTGAATTTTATACTATGTAAGGCTTAACTATGGGTTGGAAGGTTTCTGAGATCCACTGCATCCATAGGTTCAGTTTTACTCTATGGGTTCTAATGTAAGCATGCATACCTGCTGTGCACACTCCTTTTATAATCTCAGTCACAGAATTCCTACCAGACTATATACTCTGAAATACAACATTATGTGGCTAATACCCAAAATCTGTTTACCATTACTGCATTTTCTCAAGTATGATTTCTGTTCAAGATGTATATTAATTGCATTCCTAGGATTTCTTTATTATATGAGTTCTCTGATGATTAATGAGTTGTGACTTCTGTGAGAAGGCTTTCCCACACTCATTACAATGAAAAGGTTTCTCTCCTGTATGGATTCTCTGATGATTAACAAGCTGTGACTTCTGAGAAAATGCTTTCCTGCATTCACTGCATCCATACGGTTTCTCACCTGTGTGTGTCCTCTGATGTGGTATAAGGTGTGACTTCCGAGAGAAGGATTTGCCACATTCCCTGCATGCAAAGGGTTTCTCCCCTGTATGTATTCTCTGATGATTAATGAGACTTGACTTCTCCCTAAAGGCTTTCCTACATTCATTGCATTGATAAGGCTTTTCTCCTGTATGAGTTCTCTGATGTCTAATTAACTCTGACTTGTCAAAGAAAGCTTTTCTACAAAGACTGCATTCATAGGGTTTTTCTCCTGTGTGAATCCTCTGATGAGTATTCAGCTGTGACTTCTGAGAAAAAGCCTTTTCACAGTCCCTGCATTCATAGGGTTTTTCTCCAGTGTGAGTTCTCTGATGAGTTGCAAGACTTGACTTCTCTCCAAAGGCTTTCCCACATTCAGTGCATTCATAGGGTTTTTCTCCTGTATGTGTCCTCTGATGTGATATGAGATGTGACTTCTGACAAAAGGCTTTCCCACATTCACTGCATACATAGGGTTTTTCTCCTGTATGAATCCTCTGATGATTAGTGAGACTCAGTTTCTCACTGAAAGCTTTCCCACATTCACTGCATTCGTAGGGCTTTTCTCCTGTATGAGTTCTTTGATGTCTAACAAGCTGGGATTTCATGCTGAAGGCTTTCCCACACTTACTACACACAAAAGGCTTTTCTCCTGTGTGTGTCATCTGATGTGATATGAGGTGTGACTTCTGGGAGAAGGCCTTCCCACACTGAATGCATCCATGGGGCTTCTCCCCTGTATGGGTCCTCTGATGATTAATGAGACTTGACCTTTCTCTAAATGCCTTCCTGCATTCACTGCATTCATAAGGTTTCTCTCCAGTATGAATTGTCTGATGTCTAATGAGCTCTGATTTCTCAAAAAAGGCTTTTCTACAATCACTACATCCATAGGGTTTTGTTCCTGTATGAGTTCTGTGATGTGTAACAAGTTGTGACTTCCTACTGAAGGCTTTTCCACACTCCCTGCACTCAAAAGGTTTCTCTCCTGTATGAATTCTCTGATGATTAATAAGATTTGATTTTTCACTAAAGGCTCTCCCACATTCACTGCATCCATAGGGTTTTTCTCCTGTGTGTGTCCTCCAATGTGATATGAGATGTGACTTTCGGGAAAAGGCTTTTCCACATTCACCACATTCATATGGTTTTTCTCCTGTATGTGTCCTCTGATGGGATGTGAGTTGTGACTTCTGGGAGAAAGCTTTCCCACACTGGCTACAATCATATGGTTTTTCTCCTGTGTGAGTTCTGTGATGTGTCATAAACTGTGACTTCTGGGGAAAGGTTTTCCCACAGTTACCACAGCCATAAGCTATTTCTCTTAGATGTCTGCTCTGATGTTTAATGAGACTTGTCTTCCTACTGAAGCGTTTCCTACATTCACTGCATTCATAGAGTTTCTCCCCAAAACGAGTCCTGTGATATATGACAATCTGTGACTTTTTATAGATATCTTTATCATATGTATCACCTTCATAGTATTTTAACCAAGGATCAGTATCCTCAGGTTTGGTATGGAGAAAGAATTTATCAAAGACACTGAAGTCATTTGATTCCATTTTTCCATGATCTGTTTTTGGAATAAGCAAATCTAAATGATGTTTCAAAATCAGTCCATCTAAGTCACCTTCACTGTTTGATTTCCTTAATGGAACAAAGTTCATGCTCAGATTGAATTTTTTCCAAAATGCATCACATTCATGCCCTTTTTTCCCGTTTTTAAGCTTGTTATGATTATCCGGGTGCCATGTCAGGCAATGATCTACTTGCAAGACTTCTTCTATAAGGGAAACAAAAATATCTGTTTGGTTGTGCTTCCTGAATAAAAAAACTAGAAATGCTAAAGCTGAGGGGTTGACTGCTTTTAAAGACTTAGTTTCCTAGCCTGACATAAGTCCCAAGTATAATGCCTACCTCCTAGGTACTGAACAAAAAAAGAAATGTTGACAACAGGAACAATATGATAGAATGAATCATCTTTGTTTTCAAATATAAATTTATGAAGTGGGTACAGAATGTGAGAACAAAAGGGGTAATGAAGATAAAAAGAAAGGAGGTGGGGCCAGCAGGTAGCATAGTGATTGAGATGCTGGACTCCCACATAGCCAACAATGGTTTGAGTCCCAATCCAGAGGCTTGAAATTCATGCTGGGCACATGTGCATGCATTCCCACAATCCTGAGAAGAGAATGAAGGAGAGAAGATTCCAGCATGGCCATCGTCCCTAGGAGGTGATTTCTCACTTTCTCTCTCTCTGGCTAATGCACTAGCCCTATAGTGAAACTCTCTTTAAAAAAAAAAAAAAAAGAAAAGAAAAGAAAAAAGAAACAAGAGGCTGCAAAAAGCAACTGAAGAATTACTCAGCACCTGAGTGTACATTACGTTCTGTGCAGCATGTGAGGTACTGGACACAAGAGAACAAAACAGATAACCTCTGCCATAATGAACCTTGCATTTAAATGGAAAAGAGAAAGAATAAATAGGTTGTATTAAAACATGACAAAATTGGAGCCAGCAGGTGGCGTGGTGGTTAAATCACTAGATCTCACATGGCTGTGCAGGTCAAGTCCTGGACCCGGCAGCCTGAAAAACAAACTGAGCACATGTGTGCCAAAAACCCAAGAGAAGAATGAAGAAAAGATTGTACTGTGGGCATCTAACCTGGGTGGGTTGATTTCTCACTTTACCTCTGTCTCTTTCTGGCAACCACATATGGTATAGCAAGAGAAAAATACACACTGTGGTATTATTATGTGTTATTAGTACAAATCAAGAATGACCCCTACATTTGGGATCTGGGCAATTCAGTCATGGTGTTAATAACTGAGTTGGGAGGGACATCAAGTAGTGTAGTGGTTAAGGTGCTGGACTCTGACATGGTTGACCACAGTTCGAGTCCTGGACCCAGAGGTATGAAACTCACACCAAGTGTGTGTGTGTGTGTGCATGCCCAAAATCCTGAGAGGAGTATGGAGAAGGGATTGTAGTGTGGCTATCCTCCCTGAGGGGTAATTTCTTACTTTCTCTCTCTGTCAATCCAGCAAGTGCACACACTCTGTAACAAAAATCTCTCAAAAAGATAAAATAATAGTACTAATAGAGTTGGGAAAAATAGAGGGAGAAAGAAGTCGGGAAGTTAATATCAAGACTCAAGGGACCAGCAGTTAGTGTAATGTCTATGTTGCTGGACTTGCACGTAGTTCACCATGGTTAGAATCCCTGACCTGGTGGCTTAAACTCACACTGGGCAGGTGTGTGTGCATGCCTAAGATCCCAAGAGGAGAATGGAGGAGAAGGGGTTGCGGCGTGGCCATTCTCACTGGGGGGAGATTTCTTGCTTTCTGTTTCTGTTTCTCTCTGTCTTTCTGGCGAGCGCATATGCCCTTTAGCAAAAACCTCTCAAAAACAAAACAAAACAAATGCTATTATAGACATATTAACGTGTTGTCTTTTTCTTTTACTTTGCTGTAGAACAGTTGTGTTCACAAGAGAGAGGCAAAGTGAGAAATCACCTCCCAGGTGGATGGCCATGCCACAATCCCTTCTCCATTCTCTCAGGATTTTGGGCACATACACATGTGCTTGACATAATTTTCAAGGACTGGTTCTGGAATTTGAATGGCGAAGTCGGCCATAAGGGATACCCATGTGGGATCTAGCTGCCTTAACCACCAACATATAATTTTCAGATATTGAAGAGTTTAAGCAAAATGATTATGAGGAAAGATGGGAGTACAAAACAAAGTATTCATAAAACAATGTCAAGTTACTTCTAATGCTGGGGAACCAGCAGTTGGCGTAATGGCTATGTCACTGGACTCCCACGTAGTCGACCGCGGTTTGCGACCCGGAACCGGTGGCTTAAAACTCATGCCAGGCATGTGTGCGGGTGTGCCCAAGATCCCAAGAGGAGAAATGGAGAAGGGATTGTGGCATGACCAACCCCCCAGGGGGTGATTTCTCGCTTTCTGTCTCTATGTCTCTCTCTGTCTGTCTGAGGAGCGCACACGCCCTATAGCAAAAACCTCTCAAAAAAAAAAAAAAAAGAAGGAAGTTACTTCTAATGCTATCACTAGTTAATAAATTAAGTACATATTTGAAATTATTATATACCTAACACAAAACTTTTCATTTGTCCTATAAGAAAAATAGGAGCAGGGAATTAACATTAAACTTGAATAAAACAAACCTAATTTTTTTTTATAAGTCACAGATTAGTTTATTTTTAACATCCATCATGCCATAAATTCATAGGGAATAGGTTCCAGAAGCTAAGGCTCCTTTCCATTGGTTCTCACAAAGTGGAGCAGGCTGGCTTTAGTTGAACCCAGGTAGCTTTCTCTTTGACTTCTTTCTTTTTCTGGTCATTTGCCTTCACACATTTTAGGAAGTTATCTCTGCTCTTAGAATGCTTAATATGCTTAATTCACACATTAATTCTCTTGGCAAGAATCTTGCACTTAGGAACCAGCAGTTAGCGTAATGGCTATGTTGCTGGACTCCCACGTAGTCAACCGCGGTTCGTGTCCTGGACCCGGTGGCTTAAAACTCACGCCGGGCGCGTGTGCGTGCGTGCCCAAGATCCCGAGAGGAGAATGGAGGAGAAGGGATTGCGGCGTGACCATCCCCCCTGGGGGGTGATTTCTCGCTTTCTGTCTCTATGTCTCTCTCTGTCTGGTGAGCGCACGTGCCCTACAGTGAAAATCTCTCCAAAAAAAAAAAAAAAAAGAATCTTGCACTTAACTTCTTTGTTCATAACAATGCCAACAGCATGCTGGGTAACACTGTAGACTCTTCCAGTTTTGCCATGGTAACATTTGTGGGCATTCCTTTTTGAATAGTACCCATTCCCTTGATGTCTACAATATCACCTTTCTTTTAGATTCAAATATATGTTGCCAAAGGAACCACTCCATGTTTTCTAAAAGGCCTAGAGAACATATATCGGGTGCCTCTCTTCTTTCCCTTTGTGTTCATCATTTTGGTTAATTACTGGAAGATGGCAGTTCCAGTCAAAAAACAAAAAAAAAAAAACCAACAAACCTAAATTTAAAAAGGGAAAAAAAGACCAGCAGGTGCTGCGGTGGTTAGGGTGTTGGACACATGGCCAATCATGATTCAAATCCTGAACCGGGTGGCTTGCTTTCTCTCTCTCTCTCTCTCTCTCTGGTCAAACTAAAATAAGTGAATGAATAATAAAATTAAATATTCTAAAAAGATAGGAATATCTTGGGGCCAGCAGGTGGCATGGTGGTTGAGGGTGCTGGACTCCAACATGGTTGACAGTGGTTTGAATCCAAGACCTTGTGGCTTGCTTTCTCTCTCTCCCCCTCTGGTTCAGTTAAAAATAAATAAAGTTAAATAAAATAATTCTTTAAAAAAATATATGAATGTCTTACATGTGCATTTATGACATATTCAAAACACATCCATTTTTTTTTTAAGAGATTTTTTTGCTATAGATCACATGTGCTCCCAAAGAGACAGAAAGTGAAAAACAGCCCACTTAGAGGGAATGGCCATGCTGCAATTCCTTTTCCTCCATTCTCCTTTCAGGATTTTGGGCATGCACACACAGAAGCCCAGCATGAGTTTCAAGCTGCCAGGCCCAAGACTCAAACGGGTGGCCATGTGGGAGTCCAGTGATATAACCATTATGCCACCTGCTGGTCCCAATACATCCACTCTTTATGTCACCTTCTCTGCTGTAGTCTTATCCATTATATGATCTCAGTGAAACACCCTAATTGGTTTCTTCGCTTCTATTTTCTATTCTATGGTTGTCTTGAGCTTTAAAAAGTATAAATCATCATTTTATCTTCATTTAAAAGGATCTGAATTGGGACCAACAGTTGGCATAATGGCTATTTCACTGGACTCCCACGTAGCAGACCACAGTTCAGGTCCTGAACCCAGTGGCTTAAACTCATGCCGGGCATGCATGTGTGTGTGTGTGTGTGTGTGTATGCCCAAGATCCTGAGAGGAGAATGGAGAAGGAATTGCAGTGTGGCCATCCCCCCAGAGGGTGATTTCTCCCTTTCTGTCTCTCTGTCTTTCTGGCAAGCACATGCACCCTTATAGCAAAAACCTCTCTAAAAAAAAAATTTTTTTTTAATTATCTGAATTAAATTTGTGTGTTGTGATGGTGTATAGTGAATTAATGTAAAAAATGAATAAATTAAAAAAAAATTATCTGAATTAATTCATTTAAAATTATCTGAATCAGGGACCAGAAGATGGAGTAATAGTTATGTCACTAGACTCTGTGACTTAAAACTCACACTGGGTGCGTGTATGTCCGTGCCCAAAATCCCAAATAGAGAAGGGAGAAGGGATTTTGGTATGACCATCCCCCCTGGGGGGTGATTACTTGCTTTCTGTCTCTTTGTCTTTTTCTGTCTCTCTGGTGAGCACATGTGCCCTATAGCAAAAATCTGTCTTAAAAAAATTATTTGGGCCACGAGTGGTGTGTTGGTTAAGGTGCCAGACTCACACATGGCTGATGATTATGGTTCGAGTCCCAGATCTGGCAGCTTGCTTTCTCATTTTCCAGCTCTCTGGTCCAATTAAAAATAACAAATAAAGTTAAGTAAATTATTTTTTTTAACTTATTTGAATTTTAATCAATCACAACTCCTTTCTATTACCTACACATCAACATATAATACAGTTCCTACCCCTCACAACCTCTCTATGTGTCCCTGGCAAACTAACCTCTAGTCATACGGACTTTCTTTCTATGCCTTAAAGTCACTGAGACTCTCTGGCATAAGACATTCATATTTGTCATTGCTCTTGGGGACATTTTCCACAAATTCATCACATAGCTTGCGTATTTCACATTCTTCACCTCTAGAACTGGCTTCTCCATATTGTTCCATTATGTACTAAATATCTGTTTTTATTTATTTATTTATTTATTTATTTACTTATTCATTTTAAAGAGAGATTTTTGGTATAGGATGCATGTGTTCACCAGAGAAATAGAAAGCAAGAAAATGACACCCTCCCCCACCCCCCCACAAGGAGGGATGGCCACTCCACAATCCCTTCTCATCCAGGGATTTTTTTTTTTTTTAAGAAAGTTTTTTTGTTATAGGGCACATTT